CTTCGGAAAGGGTTCTTCCGAGAAGAAAGACAAGCTCAAGGCCTTGACCGAGGTCAAAACCAACACCAGGACTCTCGCCATGGTGCTCAGGAGCGAGAGGGAGCTTCTCACCATCAACAAGGACCAGGACCTGCAGATTTCTCAGCTCAAGCAATTGCTTCAGAGCAAGAACAAAGAGGTAAAAACTAAAATGTCTTGTGTAATTGTGTTCTCGTTCGAGGTCCACATTGATTAGTGATATGATATCTACACAATCATATATGTAAGTGGCCTTAGATTCTGTATGTCCTAGTGATATGAATAAGTTAGATTAAATCCAAATTCATATTGTGAGATGATATTAGAGTCCATCTTATTGATTGTTGTTGGGTTAGGTCACCCATTGTGTGACTGGTATCAGACCATTCGTAAATGTCCAATTTTGTAAACTTCCCGCTTTAAATGTTTAATCTTATGTGTGATGAGTGTGTTGAATATATCCCACCTTTAGTGTTATATCCGGATTAGAGTATAGAAGTGGAGATAATTCTTATTTTATAAGTTTATTTTGCAAGATTGAGTTGAGTCAAAATCCACGTTTGATGAGAGGTCTTTGAATTTTGAATTTGCAGGTGGAGAAGTTGAAGGATTTGTGTTTGAATCAAAGGGAAGAGATCAAGTCGTTGAAGAGTGCGATACTGTTCCCGGATGTTATGAATTCTCAGCTTCAAGAGCTTTTGGAGAAGCAAGGTTCGGAGTTGAAGCAGGCAAAACAGGTTATTCCGGCTCTACAGCAACAGGTTTCTTCTCTTACTGGTCAGCTTCAAAGTCTTGCGGAGGACCTTGCTGAGGTATATATAACTTGCTTCGTTCTATGACAACGATGCTGGTTATTGAAATTATTTACTGATTGAGATGGACATGTTTCAGCTACATTTGATTGTTTTTCATTGGAACTTTCTTAAATTGTATCCTTTGTTTAGGTTGAATTGAGAAGAGAAGAGGTGGGAAGATGATATTACTCATTAGGATCAATAGGGTGTGTTGGATTTCTGTTTGCTGTAGTTTTTTCAAATTTCAAAATAGAACTAAACAAGGTTGCTTAGACAGTGGAGGGTGATATAAGACACCGAGTGTGAATTGAAGGAGAGGTTGAACAAGTTAAAAGCATGATAAATTGTATCTTCTGACTGTTTCGATTTTTTGATTTTTAATACAATTGTTTTGGAAACAATTTTCAAAATCCAATAGATTTTGAATGAGAAATTGATTATTGGGTCGTGTGGAATTTTTTTTTTTTTCATTTATTTATATCTCATTTGCTAGGTCAAGGCTGATAAGTATTCAGCGAAAGCAGGTCTTCTAGGTTTTGGAAGTTCCCCAAGAACACCAACGCATGCCCGGGATGATGCTTGCAACTCTTGGGTAAGCTTGCAATTACAATATATATGGTGGATTGATTATATGTAGCAGAAGCTAATCATATGTGCTACTATTAAGCCATGTAAATTGTTCTTAAGCAATTCTATCATTACCTTCTGACCTGACAAATTTTGGTAAATCTACGTAACAATTCGTGCAGGAATTCAGCTCTGACCAGTCCGACGACCTATTATTGAAAGATTTAAATCCATGCTTAACTCCATGCACTGCTAAGTCAAGATCAAGGGTAATTAAACTTCTCTAACACTGTTGTAAAATTTTCCTTTCGTTTCTGAGCAAATAACTCCATTTCCTGCAGGAATTTGAGGGTAGGGGCTCTGGCTCTATGCTTGATGAAAGCTTATCTGAGGATGAAGCTAAAGTATATCCTGAGATGAATTTTAGCTCTCATAATCGTAGGTTTTCCAAAAGTTCTGACTGTTGCCATAACTCAAGCCAAAGAAGCGTTGCAACGAAAGCAGGTCGAAGATCTGATGAGAGCAAATTAGCCTATGGAGGTAGAATGAACCTTAAATTTGCATAAATAATCTCAATCCTTGCTCCTTGGTGAGATTTTTTATTTATTTTTATCTCTTTTCCCTGTTACCATCTTTCAGTTTTGTCATTATACCATCATAATATGTCTGTTTCAGAAGTTGGACATTGTCTCTTAAAAATGTAAGATTAAATTACTCCTCCTCGTTGTATATTGTGCACATGAGCAATGAATAAGGCCTCGAAATCAACAAGTCCTTAGATATATTGCTCGAAAATTCGATAAGAGTTGCAGAGGACAAATCCTTAAACTTAAGATTTTATTGCAAAAAATAACCAGGCTCAATTTTTTTACATATGGACTTTAAATTGCTTGCTTTTTACTGTATCATTTCTGTTTTTTGTCCAATTGACAATTTTATGATCATGCTAATCTTGTATGAGTGGTATCAATAAGTTAACTGCAATAAATAAGAATCAATTCTTAGACCATAGGGCTGCAGCTAGATTAACTAAAGGGAATATGTCCTCATCAATTAGAAACTGTCCAAATGCCTTTTATGTTCTTGTTCATCGCGATACCACAAATCAGTGAAAAGCACCAAATTTAATTATAATTTTGCCCACAAATATAGATCAAATTTAATACGTCTAGTCTCTACATCATTACAGATGGGTTTTATGAGTTTGGCTATTTAAAGTAGGCTTTATTTATAGCAGGCTTGACAAGTAAATTCAAATTTTTCTCAACTTATAAAATCAAGTTCACGTATACAACTTCTTTCTCAAAATATAAATTAACCATTTTAATAGTTAAATAATTTAAATTATAGCAATAATTAAATAAAAATTTAAATTATATATTTAACTAAAAAATATTATTTGTTTCTTATTTTATTTTTTTAATTGTTATTTATTAAATATTATTTACTATTTGAATTAAAATATAAATAATAACTTAATAAATAATTTATTTTAAAATCAACTCACATATTAAATATTAATGACTATTTTGTGAGATTGTTTTTAGAGTGTTTTTATGAGTTTTTATAAATTTTGTTAATTTTGTTTTTTATTTATCATAATTATTTATGAATTAAATTTTAATATTTTTAAAACAAATTATCAATAAGTAAAAATAATCTTGTACTATAATATAAATCATTTATTATAAATTTAAAATACAATTTGTGTTTAAATATATATATATATATATATATATTTATATTTATATAAATTTAAATATAATTCATATATTCAAACATAGTGTTTATTTGTATATATAATTTATTATAAATTTTAGTATATAATAAATATTTAACATGTGTAATGATTTGTCATGATCTTTATATTAGATTGTAAATCTACTATCAGTAGAACACCTACTAACTTAAGGTTATATATTTACAGATACAAAAATATATATTATATTGCATACATATAAAAATAAATCAACAACGTCAATATATACAATATAAGTATAGTAATCTTGTAAATGTAAATTATACAATCTAAGTTGTTAGATAAGCAACTGATATTATCTATACAAGAACCATCCTCAAAGGTAGTCATAAATTTTTTTTTTTAGCTCCAACACTACTAAATGACCTCTATTGCATAATTCTATACCTATCCTTATCTTACTTTTGTATCACGTATGATCATAACCGTCCAAACCATATGAAAACACATAAGGGTAAACTAGATTTTAAAACATTGGCATATACATGACATACAACATAAAACATCAACAACTTAAATGCATCATCACATATTCATCTCATCTCCAACACCATCATCATGCAACATCATAACACAACCAACATATATCAGTAAGGACAACTCAATCTACTATCGTAAAATATCACTTGAAACATCATAACATCAACAATCTTATCATTCATCACAACAACACAATAATTATAATACAATTATATGTGTAGTTACGTATTTCAACTAGAAGATCTCCTACAACACAAGGTGAACAATTTGAGTGGTTTGACCCTACTGAATCAATAACACAGGGTGAGAAGTTTAAGCGGTTTGACTCTACTGAACCAACAACACAAGGTGATCTTTTTGGACTTGCTAGATCAATAACAAATTGGATATAAATTTACAACATAACAACTTGGTTTCTTAGATGTCATCACTTAAACAAGGAAGTATAGTACTTCTATTATGGTAAAACAACTTAACTAAGCCTCCTATGAGATTAACTCATCGACTACCTCCAAATATTACGTCCTTCCAATATTTAATTAGGAACTATGTTCTCGACTTTGTAATTTTCTCAATTGGTTACTTGTAATTAGTATAGCTTGATCTGGCTCTTATATTGTGATTGCTTTATACATGTATATCTTGATTTTGCCCACACACAGTACTAACTAGGTTGTAGAGAAGATTTAACACAACTATCCACTTCAAGGTTCAACTTCCCAATAAGGATTTTTAACAAATTTGGACTCTTAGAGCACCACACCACAATATTCATACAATGGGATATGCAACTTTTAAAAACCTCTCCTTTAGTCCTAGGTTGTTCATCAAAACTTAACAACACCATGCCTAAATGCCCAAAGCATTCTTAGCATTCATCATCTCAAACAACATAACAACCTCTTGCATATTTAACACAATTACATAACCAACACACAACTTTACAACTCACAACATACATCTCGATTCACATTCAACTTCTCAATCATCATTCATCTTAAAACATCATCATATATAGAATAACAACACTTAACAACTTTAAAGTATGCAACATATACTCATATTCATCTCATGTTCAATAATTCATCAAATAAATCAACAATTTTTCTTCAACAACTAGTGCCCGATGCCACTCACCCAATGTCCAATGCCATTTAGGCAGAGAACTCTCTGCCTCACCCACAGCTGGTGCTACACAACCTGTGCCCAACGTGGATAAGGTAGGGACCCTTAAGACCTCACGCTTGATGTGACAAGATGCCACGTGTGGCCTCATTTCAGGTAGAGTCTCTGCTTGACTCATGCACGATGCCATCCAAACAAAGAGCTCTAGCATGGCCAAGCTGGGCGCCACTCAACCTTAGGTCCAATGTCACCAATTCAGAGACCTCCAAATGTTCTCACGCTCGACACCATTTGAACAACACCCGACGTTATCTCAACCCAAAACGAGTCTTTCTTCTCAAGTCCAACACCATTGATGATCCTGCATCCAACGTGATTGAGAGAGATAGTCTCATGTTGGAACCTAATTTTGACCCAAAACCTGAAACTCAACAAAAATCCAACACATGGAACAAGAAATAATGTTCTTACTCAACACAAGTAACTCAAATCCAGCTCAAAAAGCCACATGTAACAACAATTCATAGCAATTCATTACACTCTTCATCATGAACCCAAAAACCCAAACTTCCAACACACTCTTGACTTTGAATTCACCAACGCAACCACAAATCTTCAAGATTTCACACCATATGAAACATAAAACATTCACTAGCTAGCAACTTATCCAAGACACCAAAAATCCAATTTCCCTTAACTCGAATTTGAAGCTAACTCAAGAATAAGAGATCTTGAAACTTCGCACTACCACACCAAAACAAACTAAATAGTTGGATTCAAGTCTCTAAGCACATGAATTCATTAACAAGACAAAACAATGAGAATTAAAGAAGGAAGAGAAGAAGATTTAAAGAAAAGAGAAACTCACGAATTAAAGTTTTTCTCTTTAGAATCGTCTTTCTAGACTTTTGATAATAAGAGTTTATGAGACTTTAATCAAAACAAAAACTTTATATAATCTTCATCTTAGAGTCAAACTGACATTCCCAAAGAAACCCCCAACATCATTAAAGCTCCTAAGGCATCCTCAAACCCTAGAATCTCTCAATATTAAATGATAATTCAACTTAGCAACACGAAATAATTTTAAAAAATAATTATAACACTATATAACTTATCATGTTATAACATGTGCATTATACAAATTAAAATATTATATAATTAAATTAAAATTGTAAAAAATATGAAAACTTCATCTATACTATTAATAAAAGTGATACACCCACATTTTGTTGATCGTTTTATATCTTAACTTCATAAAAACTATCTCTCTCATACTTTTTTATTCAGTTTTTATTCTTTATTTTTTTGTAATTTTTTAAATGCATCGCACTCTGTAAATAACTATTTAAAAGCTGCTTACAGTTTCTAATTGTTAACTACTCTTACATATTTAATATAAATATTTTTATTTTATATTTTATATTTTTAAATAAAATTTTAAAAAAAAACACGAAGTACTTATTTTTCAGTAAAATCTGACAGATAAAAACAATTTTAAAAGTATAAACCTATTCTTTTAAATCTAAACAGAGCCGATCATGATATTTCATGATCTTGAGCAAAATAATCAATTAAGATATCTTAAATATAAGTATTAAAATATAAAAAATATTTTATAAAAAAGTAGACACTTAATTTTATTAAAAAATTATACATATTATTATATTAAGTGAATGATATAATTTTAGTAATGGGAGATATATAATAGTATACAATACACTTTTTGTGTTTAAAACAGTTTTTTAAGTACAAATTTTATTCAGTGCAGTTTTTTTTATACAGAAAATTTAGAGAATAAATTTAATATGTTATTGAATGTAAATATTCTTATTTCAAAATATTTTTATATATTTTTTAGTGTCATTGTTTTATAAAAATCTGAATAATTTTTTTTTCATAAATAATAAATGAATAAATAAAATAACAATTAAAGCATAAACATGCATAAAAAATAAAAACAAGAATATTATTTATTTATTTTTTTCTTGAAATATGATAAATTAAAAGAAAAAAATAAGCCGTAAGGACCTTAGACAATTTCAAAACTATTTCCAAACTCTCAATCTAAATCCTAATTTATTCAAATTATGATAAAAAAATATTTTTAAATATATAAACACATTTCTTTATAAATCTAAATCCGTGTCCTATTTCCGCTGAATTGCCCACCTACCTATAATCATTTAATTACAATAACTAGTATCTTAATCTATACATTTATATTGTATAACTTAAATATTTATTATATATAATTAAATTTTAAATAAATTATATATATAAAAATATTATATTTAAATATAATTATATTTAAATTCATATAAATTGATATTTTTAAATATATAAAATATATTTTATATTTATAATAAATAATTTATATTTTAAAATAAAATAATTTTAAAATTTGGTAATTAAATTAAAAAATATTAATATTTAATTTGTAAATAATTTTAATAAATAAAATTATAACAGATAATAACTTTAAAAAATATTTAAAAAGCTCTTGACTGAAGTCCCTAAAACGCAATAGTAGTTCAGTTTATATATTGGATTGAATATACACACATTCCGACAAAAATCAAGATTCCATCCTTCAATAATTTTTAATTAAATATAATTTTTGTTAATTCGACCAATTTTATGTATTAATATCAATTTTTTTTTAAATTAAACAACAAATTCAAAGTAATTCAACCAATTGTATGTATTAATATCAATTTTTTTAAAATTAAACAACAAATTCAAAAGTAACTAAAATATTTATATTTTAATATATTTCAAAATGAATATCAATAGAGAAACACACAGCTCAATAAATAAAAATATTGATTTATTAGGAAAGATAAGTTCTCATTTCACTCTCTATCAACACAATGCTGATCTAAAGTGAATAATTATTATTATGCTATATATATAACTCTTCACAAACATTCCTCCTCCTTTCTTAGGCCGTCCCACGACTGGTAGCTGTCCTAATGATCTGAAACAGAGCTGTCAACAAAACAAGAAGAAGTCATACATCTTTATTGAAATAAATTGTCGGCAAAGTATTCAATTTTTACATCATAGTCTTTGATATTATCTTTGCCCAATTCAATATATTTAATATATGAATTAAAATTTTGCAATAGCAATAGACATGTTTATGTAATCAAGTTTTTTTAAATGTTTTTTTTTGTTTGATAAATCAGATAAATTCTTATTAAGAATAAATGTAGATAAGAAAACAACTTATAAATTTCACTAGAGATCAGGATATTCATGTATGTAAAAATGTTAAGGAAGCAAAAGAATATACATGAGCCAACAACAACGAAGATGAAGAACCCAAGAACAATTGGACCCACAGGGTATGCAAATCCTTTCTTTTCTTTCTTGCTAATGTTCCTTTCAAACCTTGCAACTTTCCTGTCCGCTACACGCCTTGAAGTAGTCTATGAAATCAAACAAGTTAAAGCCAACACAAGAAATGTCACCAATAATATAAATGAGAAATAACTATGCTCATTACTTTAGACGAGAAAGCAGAACCAGGAAGCATATAATCAATCATAACCTATATAAAATTAATTGGGAAAAGAACTACTCACTCTAACACTCTTTTAATAATTATTGATTCAAAATCATAAATTTTAATTAATCTTACCACTAATCAGAATTACAAATTATAGATACAATACTCAAAAAAAATATAACTTCTAATAAGTTTCGATCAATAAAAACTGACAGCAATCCTACCATGAAGAGAATGTCCACGTCTTTAATATTTCTCGATTGGGGAATACACAAGAAACTCTGCTAAATGTTGTGAAGCCGGAGGTAGCAATAACCATACAAAATTATAAAATAAACAAACACATGACAAAGGGATTTTCTCAATTGAGGGTTTAGCAGTGTGACAACACTCCTTAGAAAAATCATGAACAAATAGAACTCAACAATTCTGGTTTTCCAACGACTCTGCAATTCACAGAAATTAACAGGACAGAGCGCATACAAACTCCCAAAATTCCCTCCTTTTTTTTTTTTTGTTATTGTCAAATATGAGCAAGATTTTGCACTGAAAAAAAAAGGATTGATGAGAAAACCACAACCAAAAGAGGTTTCTAGAATGAAGTGGCCACAAAAATAAATCTACTGTGGAAGTAAGATGAGTGAACAAGATCACAGTGACAATCAACAAAATGCAACAACAGTCACAGGTAGCAGCAGCATCATAAGACAAAATTGTTCAGAAACAAAAAGAAAAATCAACAAAAATTATAGAATAAAACAGAAGAGGAAGAGAAACTTTACCATAGTAGTACTCAGCAAATTAGAACCCAAAAACCCTTAAAGAGAAGAAACTAAAAATTAAATTTTGGTTGTAAAATAATGAAATGTGCAAGCAGAATGCAAAGTTGAGAGTATCACCACAACCTGAACAGTGTTTATAAAATATGTGTATATTATGTGTCACCTCCTTCAACCGACTCGTGGGCGTTTATTTATTTTTCTGAACAGAAGTTTTGTCTAAATCTATTTTTAAAGATTTACTACCAATTTTAATTTTGATAATTTTGGAAAAGGGTCAATTGCGTAACGCCTCATATTAAATGCGTATGTAATTACTATTTACTGACGTTACAATTCAAAAAGCTGGTCTTCGTGACGGATACGTTGTAATTGGGAATTTAATACAACCATAAATCTACTTAATATATTTATTTTTACATTAAATTTTTATTTTAATTCATATAATTTTATTTACTTTATTTTTTTAATTTCTACAGTTTAAAATATATATATATATATATATAAAAGGGGTTATAGTTACATCAATGTAACTTTTATCAAGTACTAGACTTGTGTTCATGCATTGCACGAAAAATAAATTATTATAGTCAAATAATTTTATTTTAATAATTAATATATATAAAATTGTGAAAATTAATTAAACTTAACATAACATAAAGAAAAATATCTGAATATATAAATAAAGCGACAATAATAAACGATTGAAAACATGATAATATGAAGTATTAGAAAAAACTAAATTGCATTGTGTCTCAGCTTAAAAAATATCAACATCTATAATATAAGCTAATGCATTAACCTGAAGAAGAAAAAAACTTATAATTAACTTATAAGAGGTGTAATATTAAAATGCTATAAATATGTAGTAATTCAAATAGAAAAGAAATCAAATTAAATTTTTACCTTATATAATAATTATGTAACGACCCCTAAACACATCCATCATAAAAAATAAACTTGGAGAAATGATTGAAAAATTGGTAAAATTAGAACTAAAGTATACATGTTTTCCTTTTATAATATTATATTTATTTTTGTATTAAATTTTTATTTTAATTTGTATAATTTTATTTACTTTATCTTTTTTAGTTTCTACCGTTTAATATATATATATATATATATATATATATATATATATATATAATTTCATATCACTTTATATGTGTATATCAAATTTTGTTAAAATTGAACAACAACTTGAAAGTAATCAAAGTGTTCATATTTTAGTATATTTTCAAATAAATATATTATGTCAATTTTGTTTTATAAAAATGAAATATCAAATCATCTTGGATTAATATAAAATTTTGTATATATGATCTAAGAGATATGAACTTTCAATTTAACGTTTGGATTTACAAAATTCACAATTAATATAAAGTTATTGAGCGGTGTAATACTTATTAAAAGTTACATCGCTGTTATTATAACCCTCCTTTCTCTCTCTCTCTATATATATATAGAGGAGGGATCCTTTTACTCTACGAGTAAGTCTACTTAGACTTACTCCGTTCAATAATTCATGTTCTACATCAAATTTCAACGATCCAACCGTTGAATTTAAAATTCTTAATGCATAGATCAAATCTATAAATTTGTAGAAAATTTGAAAATTATTTGATACTTCATTTCATTAATTCAATTTTTCTAAAAATTTAGATATTTGATCTATGCATTAAGAACTTAAAATTCAACGATTGGATCATTGAAATTTGATGTAGAACATGAGTTATTGAACGAAGTAAGTCTAAGTATACTTACTCCTGGGGATCCCTTCTCATATATATATACTTATACTCATTTTTTTAAATTTTTTTTGTTTTATAGTTTAATATAATTTTTTTTAATTTATCTATTTATGATTTTTTTAATCTTTATTATTTTTTTTTTAAAATTTTACTATTTTCGTATTGATATGATAGAGATATTAATTTAATTTTGTATATCTAATGTTTAATTTATTTTATTAAAATTATTTTAAATTAGTTTTTTTTTTATATATTTCCTTCTATTTTTTATACCTTTACTTACAACATTAATTGTTTATTTTTTTTAAATTGAAGATTTTTACCATGTTAATACAAAATAAATAATATTTCAAAAAATAATGATAGAGACTAAAAGATTAAAAAATCATGAATATAAAGAAAAAAAACTATCTTAAATTATAAGAATTAAAAAATAATTATAAAAGATAAATATAAAAATTAAAAATATCTATTTTTAAATTATAAAAATAATAGCAAAAAAAAATAAAAACTAAAAAAGTATCTTAATTTTTTAATTAAATTAACTATGAATGAAAATAATATTTAATACACTACTTCGTTTATGTATTTTTTAAGATTTTATTCAGATTCTTAAACTTAAAAGAAATTATAATCAGATCTTTTACCTTTTTATCCTGTTAGATGTTTGTTTATCATTTATAAATTTTTATAAAATATTTTTATATACTCATATATTTTATGTATATAAGGTTTTAATTCTTTTCTATTAAATTTTTTTACTATTTTAAATTTTTTAGGATAACAAAGATTATAAAAATTTGTATAAATAAAGATTAAAATCTTATATAAATGAATAATGACATATAGAATGATGTGATTGTTCAAGTGTGAATATATAAAAGATATTCAGTCAAATTTTATAAATTATAAAAGATTTTTTTTGTCTATAAATATGATATACACAGTGTTTTAAAGTTGATAAATAAGGACTAATGTATATTTATAGATCAAGATTTTTATCGATCAAATATTATTTTAACATATAAGAGAAACGGATTTTTAATTTTGAACACTAAATTGTAAAAATGTAGAAAAAACATAATTAAAAAAAATAATTTAGGGATCTAATTAAAAATTCTAAAAAAAATTAAGAAGAAAATATGTGTTAAATTTAAGATTCATTTTGGAATAAAATAATCTTTTTGAATTACTATATTATGTTAAATATATATAAAAAATATAGATATATAAATTATAGACCTATAAAAAAAACCTTCTAGTTCTTTCTTTCTATCTGTTTTTTAAAAATAAACAAATTACAACATATATAAAAGCCTAAAAGTAAATATTAATAACATGTTTGACAAATTTGTCAAATAAAATTTTATTTGATAAATATAATAATTTGTTACTATTTATTAATATCAATTTCTTTTATGAATATAATATTTATTAGTGTGATGAACATATATTTTATATTTTAACTATTTTAAAAAAATACAGAAAAAAGTACATATAAGTTAATAATTTTTTTTTATCATAAACTAACAATTTGTGTGCCAATAATTAATCCCTAATTTTAGTTGAAACTAACTTATTAGTTTGAGTGGAATAATTTGTGTTTTACTATTTTTATTCTAAAAATAACTTGAATACAATTTTTTTATCAACCTTAAAAGTTACTAAAAATCACTTTGACTCAAAATAAATTTTTAATTACGAATTAACTTTTCAATGTAGGACAAAACATGTGAATACTTACTTAAAAGTTAGTTAACTAATATTTTAAGTGATTTTGGTTCATGTAAGATAAATCAAAACACATATTCACCCAAATAAAATTTTCTATTTTTTATAATTAGAAAAAAGTACGATAATTATATTTAAAATCAAACATAGGTCTTTTATATGCATTAAAAAGTAATTATGTTATTATTGTTATTATTATTTAAAATAATTAAATTGTAAAATAAAATTTCAAATATTAATTATTATATTTGTCAAATATAATATATTTATTCAATTTACTAAATTTAAGTCATATATTGATACATAAAATATAGAAATATTAAAATATATAATTTGAAAATAAATAAAAAAATACGATGATTTATCTCTTACTTACTTTCTATATTTAATAATTTGACTATATAAAATATTCAATAAATATAGTTTAATTTTATCAAGCAGTCAATTTTATATATAATATATTAATTATGATATTTATTAAATAATACTTATTATATTTACTAAGCTTAATATTTTAAAATAGAAAAGTTCAAATATATAAAATAATTTATTTTTTTTCTCAATTTTAATATTTAATTAAATAGTACTTTAGCTTGTGTAATACACAAATATGTTTATTATATAAAATTAAAATCTTATAATCAATTATAAATAAATAAATATATATATATATATAAATTCGTGTTTGAATATATAAATTATATTTAAA